TTCTCTTCTCTTTTATTGCCTGGTCGTGTTTTATTTTGTTCACACTCACTCAGATGATTTCCTAGGCATTCCACAACAGATTTAGGGACCCAGATGGGGCCTTCCCTTAGAAGCTCATGGGATTTTCCTGTTTGACTCCCAATAGGAAAGATGTAAAGTACAGGTAGACCCACCTGTACTGATGAAAATGGATTTTGAACCCACACATGGGACACTTCTTGGGGCTGGACTCATGGGCATAATGGCCATACTACCCCTGGATGAAAGTCGCTGCTACTCAGAACCTTAGTTTGGAAGTTTCCCCAGATTAATAGATGGTGCTGAACTCTTGAAGCAGTTATTAGATTCCCTATAACAGGATGGAGAAAGACTGGGGATATTTTTAACAGTGTGTTGGGTCAGCTGCTGGACTGAGCTAGCATCTCAGTCCTGAGATCACGGAGATGGAAGAACCTAGGTCCCAGCTGACACCAGAGGTCTAGGGGATTTAAAAAAGTAGTCTCTGTGCTGAAGGGAAGGCTTCTCAGGGACATGTGAATATAAAAGTCCTCAAAAAAGTTCTGAGTTGAGAGAAATCTCTTTCCTGCTTCCCAGCAACTTTCCAATAAGCAGGTACATATCAAGGTGAAAAAGTTCCGGAAGGAGGAGGGAGGATTCTGTTTCTGTTTTGTTTTTATATTCTGGAATCCTTAGGTGTATAATTTTGCAATCACATTGCTATAAAATACTAAAATCAAAAATATTTCATTGGGTAAAGAATTTTGAAATTTGTTTTTTACTTTTTCTGTCTTTATCTCTCTTCTTCCATAGTTAGTATTTAAAACAAATTTGGCCCCAAAACCAAAACAGTCCAATGAGATGTCTCCTACACAAATCCTTAGCTACTTGAGATGATTAAGAAACAGATTGTCTGTCATTAACATATTATGGATGATATGCTTTGGAAGGCTAAGAAAAATGCCTTAAAATTATGTCTCCATATTAAAATGCAACCTTATGACTAGATCTACTAAGCAAGAGGGAGGAAAATCAGGATAAGATTTCCTATCTGCAGTGTTTTATGGCCTTATATCAAAATTACAGCGTCCAAAATTAATACAGTGAGCAAACATGAAGGTTAAACATTTAACGAAGAAGGGAAGCAACTTCCGGGTATCTGAAAGTGCTCTGGAAGAGAACAATCTGCTTTTCCTTCCTCTGGGCCTGGGTGGGGGGTGACGCTTGACATTGGACACTCACTGCTCCCTGGATTATAGCTGATCAGGTTGATCAGCCTCCTCTCCATCCTCCGGAGCTTAGGGCAGCAAAGGACTTAGATAAACAGCATGCTAACTAATCTTCCAATTCAGCATAGCAACCTAGTAAAGAGTTGGTTCCAACTATGAATCTTTAGGAAGACAGCATCGAATAAATATTCCTAAGAAGTCCTGGAGCTAAGCTCATAAGGACACAAGATAACCAACCATCTTACAGTTGCAAACACCTACACTTTACTAGCTCCCATTTCTGAATGTCTTAGTTACTTTTCTTGTTGTTGGGACAAAACACTTGACACCCAAAGTTAAAGGAAGAAAAGATTGTTTTAACTCACAGTTTGTAGAAGTTTCAGTTCATAATCATGTGGCTGCAAGGCAGGGTGGAGAGCAGACAGTCACCACAGAGGAGAAACAGTTCATGGGGTGGCAAGCAAAATGGCAGCAATAGCAAGCAGCAAGCAACAGCAAGCCTGCCTTCCCTTTCTCCCTTTATAGTCCATCCAGGATATAATCCTATTGATTGGTGCCACCCGCACCTAGTGCGGGGCTTCCATTATTCACAACCAGAACTATGCTAATTCCAGTCAGTGGACTAATTTAACATCATGCACCCTTAATCTCAGTATTACACACCCTAGATCCAACCAGCTCTGTGTAGTGTCATCTATGAGGGTATTAGACTTTTGGGGAACATCTAGATACAAACTGTGACACTTAGGATAATACTATACAGTTCTGGATGTAAAAGATATTCTTTTTTTTTTTTTTTTTACATTGGGTCTCTAGATCTCTGCTTTGAGTGGGAGGACCCAGAGTTTCCCCAAAACAGTAATAATAATGGATAGTGCTCCCCCAGGTATTAAAACATTTACCTACCCCCTCCCCCCTTTTTGATACCAGGGATCAAACTCATGACCCTCATGCTTGCCAAGCAGGCACTTACACTGCTGAGCTAAATCCCTGGTCCCACTGCCAGGGAAGAAATCAGAAGCAGGGACCTGTGAACACTAAATCTAGAAAGTGGAACCTAGTTACAAATTGTAGAAGATATTCTAATTACAAATCTTTAATGAGCCCAGGGGCCTCCTAATGCGTGTAGTGCCTGTACCAAGTCAGTAAGATGCACACAGTGATTTGATTTATATGTGTATTAAAGACAAGATATTGGTACTGTGAATTGACCCTGATGCTGAGCCCATGAAGAAGGGTGGTAGCTTATTTCTCTATTCAATTAGATAGTATGCTTCAAAGTTGCTTCAGGGCAGTTGCTGCAAGGTATCTGTTCATTCAAATGCCAGAACAAATGTGGGCGATCATAGACAGTCTAGATCCTACACTAGATCACCAGTGGAGATAAAAATCTATCACTGGCCGATAGCCCCTGAATGTGACAGCAGTAGGCCTGGTTAACAAGCTACTCTTATCTGAGCCTAAAAGTCTGCCAGACTTTTGCCCAATCACCCTACTGCCGCCAGCATGGAAACCTCTAACACGTAACTGCTGGGAACTAACAGAGCAGACATAGTCATGCAGAGAAGACTCCAGAGTGTGGGCCTACCAGGTCCAAAACAGAATGGTTTGTAGAGGGGAGTGGTTCTGTAGTCAATGGGCTGGGTGTATAGTGGGCTCAGTCCATGAGGCCCCTGTGATAAAGGCCTCCCTCTTGGAACTTCTACTCAAAAGGTTAAATTATAGCCCTGACTTGGGCACTGTAGTTAAGAAAAAGCAGACTATCTACTCTGTCTGCAAATTCCAAATATGCCTTCTCAAGGAACTGGGCTCAAGGTCAGCTTAGCCAAGCATGGACAGGACCTTATCTAATCACACCAACTACTCACTATTCCCTTAAATTACCAAGTGCATCCTGGTGGATTCATCATATGAGAGTAAGGAGGTCTCAGGAACCAAAGGACTCCAGTGAGCCTCCAGGTGCCTGCTGTGCACCAGGATAACAACTCACCAAAGTTAAGGAAACATTAATAATAAGAAAGTCAAGCAGTGAGTGATTTGTTCTGCCCTATTCTCCTACTTGGTCTGTTTGAATAAATAGTTTTAATCTGTTTGTGTTTGCTCTTTATATTCCATCAGAAGCTTAAAATCACTTTCAAGGCTAGAATTTGAGTCTCTTTTGGGTGGTATTATAACTAAAGAAACTTAACACTATCGTAAGTATGTACAATAAAAATGATAGTAACCCTTTCATCTTACTCTTTTATGGGTTGGCCTGTTTCATTGTGTTTCAGCCTGGATTTCCTAGGACACTGAGCTTGTATTTCTGAGTGAGTTGGTTAAAAATATCAATGTTACTGATTGCATTTATGAATTATGTCATAAGTAGAGGTGTTTTAAATGTATAGTAGAACAATTGTGAATGGAGCCCAAACAATGATGCTGTAGAACACCTTTGCTGACCCAAGATGACCCATCTGGCTCTAGAATAAAAAAGATTCACTCTGGTAATATTAGCACCAGCTCAGCAGTTACAAATTAGAGAAAAATGACGTCCACTCAAGAAGCTCTGAAGAATAAAGCTTGGCAGGCAGCTTTTGGATGAACCACCACGTTAATAGGCCATCAGAGATCTATCTCCTTTATACTGTGTTTCTGCTAAGACCTTCTAACTCATTCTTTTAGGCACCTACAGTAAACTGGGATGATTAGCATATTAAACCAAGCATGTCTAGAAATGTTCACATCTGCCATCTTTATGACTTGAAACTACGCATGCACAGAAGTGTCTGTTTTCACTATCACAATCTTTCAAACATATGCTCAGTGTTTTAAAGGGATGCCACCAAATGTGCTGTCTTTCCTCACTGAATTGTGATCTTAAACTGAGTACGTTCAGAAATGCGAGCACAATCAGAAACATGCCTACCTTGAAGGTGCTCTCCTATATGAATATATATTGTGTCCCTGAAGAAAAAATCCATACTTTTCTTCCTTGGGAAGGACATTGCTTTGGAAAAGAACCTCACGTACTCCTTACCTGGCACAGGTAAGAAATGTTTCTCTGGTTGTATTTTTTGACCAAGATATGAACCCACTACAGTTACAGTATCAGTATCAGGAGGCTGAACAGCGTTGCCAGGCAGATGTTCTCACAGTGGTACATTTTGCATGTGTTTGTGGTGACCACTGCAAGGCTGGTTTTGTATCAGTCTTTTTGTGATAGTTGCTATCATACTATTGTGTGTAAGATTTCTTCTTTTCCAAACTCCCAGTTTATTTCCTTATTTTTATGCCAGGGTTGACATGAGTTACTCTTGATTTTGACAACTTTCACGTTTCTTTCATATCTGATAATGTGTGAAAGCCTTTGGAATTGGCTTATCACAAGAGAAGTTTGGGGGAGCAGGTTAGAAGAGTCCTAAAATGTTGTAAGTGGATTTTAGGGAATTTTGGTGAAAATGCCAAAGACCAGAATGTGAATAAGAATAGAGATAATAAAGGCTGTACAGATGAAGTTTCAGATGAAAATGTGAACTTCCCTGGGACTGGAATTACAGGGAACCATTGTTACAACAAGAACTGGAAGGAAAAAGGAGGAGAGCTGAAAGATTTAGAGGACTTGCATCCTAGCTGGAAAAGGAGGGCATCTAAAGGCATAGCCCAGGAGGGGATGGTTGCTAAAGAGATTAGCACCATTCAAACAAATCCAAACACTCACCACTAGGGCAACAAGAAAGATGGATTAAGGGCATGACAGGAACCTTCAGGTCCACAGCCACAAAAGCTCAGAGATATAGAAATACAATTTTATTTCAAATACATTCCAGAGCAGTCTTTTCAGGGATGGGGAGTTTGCTTGCCTGGAATCTCATAAAACAGAAAGGCATCCACAGGCCACTGCAGCCATGGCTCAAGAGGGCCCAGGTGCATTGTGTGCTGGGAGTATACTTTGATGCTGTCCAAGTGCTGCTGGATTTATAGGCATGTGGGCTTCCACCAGGATTTCAGACACCTATGATGCTGGACTGTTTGGCAGGGTCAGTACTTCTACAAATGTTTATGGACAGGGTGATTCATGAAGCTGTGTGTGAAGCAGAAGCTGAGCGTAGCTTCCCAGAAGGAAGTGGCTGGCCCCTCTGTGAATCAGGGCTTTGGGACTTGGTGGCCATCAGGCTGTCACTTGCTTCTGTCAAGGGGCTGCTAACCACAGTTCTTTACAGAAGAACAACATGCTCTCAGAATCCATGTTTTCTTAGAAAACAGATGAAACCAGGAGAGGTAGAATGCATACAATCATCATTGGCCAGTTTCTGTTCTCTGAAAGTGCAAAAATCAGACAATGTCTTAGTAACAGGAGGAACTAGAATTTTCCCCCCAGCGGTTCCATGATAATGAACAAATCAACATCCCTAACCACTGGTTCTGTGGACATGGCAGCCCTGAGTGAGAAGGCCGGAGCACTGGGCAGACAAGGGCAGGGAGGCAAGGACAGGATGCCTGGCTTCCACACGTGAGGGCAGGTGACAGAGCCCTCCCCAAGGTAATGTGCTGATCTCACGTAGGCCAGAAGGCCTCTCCCATCCAGGTGCTGTTTGAAGAAATGGTTTACTACCAGTCCCAAGCTGGACCCATGACCTCGAGGAGAATCACCCCAGGAGGCATCATGTAGCACCTAAACCATGTAGGGTGACCCACAAATTCCCAGTCTCTCTGTGTTGGCAGTGGAAGTTGCAGTCTCGGCAATAGGACTAGGTGTACATGTCCTGTCCCAGGACACAGCCCTGAACAGAGACCTTAAAGACCCAGGGCCTCAGTCTTTCTATAGGTAAGGCGAAGCCCAATTCCACTAAGGACTTGATTGCTTACTTTTTATAATACCTGTGCCAAAATATATGTATTTATACCGTTTCCTTTTTAAAGAGCATAGTCCATTAATTTTAGGGGCATTTACAGTGTTTTGCAGTCATTACCACCCCGCCATCCTAACTTTTTCATCCACACAAACTGAAACTCTGTTTCCATTTAACAGTGAATTCCATGGGGCAGGGCATATGGCTTAGGGGTACAGTGCCTGCATGGCAAGATGAGTTTGATTCTTGGCACATATACACAAAAAGGATTCCAATCCCTATCACAACTGTTTCACTTTCTTTTTAGATCATATAACTCTAGAGACCTCAAATAAGTGGAATTATATAGCATTTGTCCTTTTGTGATTCCCTTATTTTTCTTAGCACAATGTCTTCATGATTTATTTATAGTTTTGCATGTGCTATAGTTTCTTCCACTGTAAGGTTGAATAATATCCCACTCAATGCATTTACAATCTTTGATTGTCCATTCATCCATCTATGGGCACTAAGGTGGATTCCACCTTTTGGCTTTTATGAAAGATGCTGTTAGTAACACATAGATGAACATCTCTTTGAGTTTTGTTTTTTACTTCTTTTGGGATACAACCAGGATGGGGTGGCTATACCATAGGATAATGCCAATTTGTTCTATTTTTCATAGTAATTGTACTATTTTGTGTTTCCAGGAATGCGTGAGGGGTCCAGTTTCTGTACCTCTTCCCAATACTTCTAATTTTCTGTTTTGTTAATTGTTACCATCATAAACTGGGCATGGTGGCACAGTCCTGTACTCCTAGTATGCTAGAGGCTGAGACAGGAGGATTACCATAAGTTCCAGGGTAGCCTGGGCTACCTGGAAAGTGAGTTCACGGCCAGTCTGAATTAAGTAGCAACATCTTGTCTCAAAAAATATATAGTGCTCATGCTAATTGATGTAAGTAGCATTTTATTGACCTTGATTTGCATTTGCTTAATAATTAAAAATTTTCGGGGCTGGGGATTTAGCCTAGCGGCATAAGCGCCTGCCTTGCAAGCAGCAGTCATGAGTTCAATCCCTGGTACTGGTAAAAAGGAAAAAGACAAAAAAAAAAAAAGATTTTAAGCATCTTTTCATGTTTTTATGGGCTATTGGTGGCTTTTTGGGAGAAAATTTGATAAAAGGCCTATCCACACTTTTAAAATTGAGCTTTTATCTTTTTTTCCTATCTTTTTCCCCTCTCACCTTTTATAATGGGGGATTGAGCCAGGGCCTTCACACTCAGCGGCAGTTTGTTTTTTTTTTATTTTTGAGACATGAGCCCACTGAGTCACTAAGCTGCCCAGACTCAACTCAAACTTGTGATCTTCCTGCCTCAGTGTCCTATAGTACTGGGATTCAGGTGTGTGCCACCATGCTGTGCCGCTAGCCTTCCCCAGTGTGCATGTGTACATTTTTTTTCATTCTCAAATCCATTTTATTTCAAGGAGAATAAGAAAAGAACTAAAACAAAATTTCAAAAGGACTTTTGTCTTATATTGTTGTTACTAAGATGATAAAGTTCTTTTTGTTTTGTTTACTTTTACATATTCTGGATATGGATTCTTTATCAGATTAATGTGTTGAAAAGTTTCCTCCATGCTGCTCCCTACTGTAGTGCAAGTGTCAGAACCCAGAGGTCATTTAAATGTAATTTCCTTTCCCTATTTTTCCTTCCTGGTCTGTACTTTTGTTGCCATATCAGAAGTTAGTACTAAAACCAATGTCATAAACATGTTTTTCGAAGTTTCAAGAGTTTTCTGGTTTTGGGCTTCTCTTTCAGGTCTTTCATTCATCTTGAAATACTTTTTGAACCTTGTGATGTAAGGATCCAAATTCATTCTTTTATATGTGGGTATCCAGTTTGCTCAGAGTAATTTTTTTTTTTTAATCGGTACCAGGGATCGAACTCATGACCGCCTGCTTGCAAGGCAGGTGCTTATGTCGCTGAGCTAAACCCCCAGCCCTTGCTCAGAGTAATTTGTTAAGAAGGCTGTCCTTTCCCTGTTGAATGGTCTGGTCTCAAAAGACCAGTTATTGCAGAGAACTAATTAAAATTTCAATAGGAGGTCAGTGAAAATAAATTGGGTGTGTGTGTGTGTGTGTGTGTGTGTGTGTGTGTGTGTGTGTGTCTGTCTGTCTGTTTGGGTGTGTTTTGATTATTCACCATAGCAAGGAATGAAGTACTGACTCACACTACCTCCTGCCCTGGATGAATCTCAGAAATGTGATGCCAGCCACAAAAAGCCACATGTGTTCTGAGGCCTTTTATGTGAAATGCTCAGCCAGCCCATCCAGTGACATAGAAAGCTGATGAGAGGTGGCAGGGGCTGGGGCTTCAGCATCACTGTCTACTGGAGATGGAACTCCCTCTGGGGAGATGGGTCTCTTTTGGAGCTAGAAGGAAGGGGTGGTATTAGTGACACTAACTGATCAAATTAAAATGACTGATATAGAAAATGTGGGCAAAGAGGGCCATACGGGAGAAAATGATCAAGTGTCCCGAGGGCGTGTAGAAATCTGTCAGAATGAAACCCACTGATCTGTGTAAGCAACATGCATTCATAAAACACATGGAAAAATCATATGGTTAAGTTTGTATCAAATGATTTCCATCTAAATAAAAATACAGTCAGACTTTGAAAAGAAAAGCAGATATTCTTACTTGGATCAGTCTCACTACAGACTGTGTTGGCCGTGGCGTTGCATTCCCGCACAACTGGTTTCCCCTTGGGACAGCTGGAGAGAGAGAGCATCCATTTCTTCCCACTCACAGTACATCCCTGTCTCGGAGTCACCTCCCAGTGCCAACAAGAGGCCTGGTACATGTCCAACCCCCTCCTGGAGGCAGCCCATGTGATCAGAGACATGGAGGACCTCCCAGGGGTCCACACCCTGCCTGGCCTTGCAGGTGGCATTACTGTGATTCTCACTAATGGGCCAAGTTAACTAAGTCTCCTCTTCTGTGAACACTTACAACCTGATTGGTGGCCTACGATTGAAGGGAAATATACACCTGATTGGATCATAAAGTATCTAACTTTATCAGTAGATTAATTCATTTCCCAAATTATGATGAGACCATAACTTGATAGTATCACTGGGAGGTGATGAAAACAGGAGGTTGGGCCAATTCAAAGGGAGTGGATCATGGGCCATGCTGTTTGGGGCTTTCTTTGGTCCCTGGTCTTTTCCTCCCAAGGTTGTCCTATCTCTGCTTCTTGGTCACCTTTCTCCACCAAAGCCTTCCACGATGATGTTTCTGAACCCAAAACAGTGGAGCCAACCAACCATGGACTGAACCTCTAAAACTATGAGCCAAAATGAACCTGTTCTGCTTCAAGATGTGTTTCTCAGGCATTTGGTCACAGCAAAGGAAAGCTGATTAACACAAATGAATACTGTCACCAGGTCAGTCAGGAGGAAACATTTAAGCTGTTTGTTAGATTACTCTTCCACATGGCAGGTAGTACCCCTTAGCATTACTGTACAGATGGGGAAAACCAGGCTGGGGATCTGTGTAAGTGACCACACACAAAGCAAGTGGTGAGGGGAGGATGGAAGACACCCCCAACCCCCCATATTCCATTTGGTACCTGCTACACCGGAAGCAGCGCTCCACACAGTTTTCTGTGTCACAGTAGTATCCTGTCTTGCATTGACACTGCTGGTCAGCAGTTGAGGAGCATTTGGAGACCACCTCCTGATCTGTTGGAGAAAAGTGAGTCAGCAGGGTAGGACTCTGTGTTCTCTGGCACAGGTCACAACACCGTGAGGTCACCTCCATGTGCTCTTGGGCATGGAATCTGCCCTCACTTTGTCTTCTAACACAGGGACCAAGAAAAGGTAACCAGGCCTCTTCCCTCTAATACGTGGCACCTGTGGAGAGGCCAGCAAGACTCCTTTCACCTTTTCACCCCTGACAGAAGACTACACTGCTAATGTGTTTTTGTTTGTTGGTTCATTTGTTCCTTGTGGTGCTGGAAACAAACCCATGACCTTGCTTCTGCTGGGTAAGTATTTTACCCCTGAGTCCCAGGCCTGCCTGTATTTGTCTGATTATATGCAGGCATCGTTACCACATTCTGGATGCTGTGTGTGTCCTACATATCACAAATATGTTCTACTTTGTACTTAACACTTAACACTTGTATGTCTTTTGATGAATAGTATTATGTAATTCTAATGTAGTGGTGTTCATCAATCTTACGCTGTAGTAGGGATTTTGTAACCCTACATCAAATTTGATCACTGGCTTAAATCCAAAGATATTCTGTTTTCTTCTTTCAGTTTTGCTTCTCCTCTGTGGCTTTCCAGGCAGTGATGTTGTGTGTGTTGGGGAGAGGATAGATACAGCCAGAGCCCCAGTAGGAGCTGGCACTTTCCAAAGTGCACAGTGAGGTATCCATTTGGGATTCACCTGGAGGCTGCAGGTCCCATTGCATGGTTTCACCTGTGGAGTGGCCTCTTTCAGGGTCTTTGCAGATGACTGGTGCCACCATCCCAGCCCTGCATGGACCTCAGGCTATTCTAATTGGCCCCCCACACAGAGCCATGACATCAGCGTAGGGCTAGTGCTGGCTGAGCTGTGGTCTTCAGGAGCATTGTGGCATCTGTCAGCTTCTCATTTCCGGAAAATCCCCATCGGGAATCTCACTAAGGATGCACTGGTTCTAGGGATCATTCCATGGAGAACAACTGACAGCTTTATGAGATTCTTTTTCCCTGTAATCTCATTTCAGTTCTCTACAGACACAGAGGGACATGAATGGTGTGTGTGCACTTACACATCCCCTGCTAAATTTGTTTCTTAGTCTCACTATGGTAGGCTTTTCATTTGGCTCATGCAAATGTTTTTTAAATGTTATGTTTTTAGGAAAACAATTCATTGTTGGCATATAGTACCTTAGGTGAATATTTACATATGAATCTTGTATATAGTTTTTGTTAAGTGGCCTTAAAAATGTTAGTCTTTTGATGCTCTAGCCACGTATGTGTGTCCTCACACTAAAGAGACACCTTATCACTGTCCCTCCTGTAGTCAAACCTTTTGTGAGGGACATTTGTGTTATGGTTTCTGCTAGATGTCTCTTCCAAGCCTCATGTGCTTGTAGGTGGTACTTTGTACAGATGGCTAGATCATGGGTATGTGACACTGGATTATGGATGTGTTAAATAAAATAGCCCTTTCACTGGTTTAACATATCTGTGGGTGATGGAATTAGTGAAGAGGGAAGCCCCATCCTGGGTGTGGCTGGCACCAACCAGTAGACTTATACCTTGGAGGGAATATAGAAGAAGAGAGGGAAGGCAGGCTCGCTGCTTCCTGCCTTGGACCTTTGTCTTGTGTCATGCCACCCTGCACGGGAGCCAGCTGACCAGGAACTGAAACCTCTACAAACTGTGAGCTAATGAAACTCTTCCTCCTTTTACTTGTGTATGTCAGGAAAGTAACTAAGATACCATGTGGCTGAAATTCTGTACACAGACCCAAAACTTTGTTTGGTTTGATCTGTGATTGGATGGTGGGGCTTGGGGTGATGCTTTAAAGGTTAGCGAAGGGCCAGGGGGACAGGTGTGGTAGAGCACACCTGTAATCTCAGAACTCAGGAGCCTGAGGCTGAAGGTTTACTGTGAAATGAAAGCTAGCCTGGGCTACAAAGTGAGTTTAAGGCCAGTCTGAACTGTATAGTGAAACCCTGTCTCAAAAAGACAAAAAAAGGAAAAAGTTAATGGAAGGTTTGGGATATAGCTCAATGGTAGCGCACTTAAATACTTATGTAGCGTTTTCTCCGTTCTGGGTTGAATTTCTAGCACAAAAGGAAGGAAGGAAAAACAAAGAGAGAAAGAAAGAAAGGTGGGACCACTGTCCCTGCCTGCCTGTGGTCACATACTTACCATTTCGGCACTTGGAGCAGGAAAAGCAGGACTGCATAGTGTTGGGGATTTTCATGAAGGTTCCAGGGTCACATGGTGCACATGCTATAGTGTGTTGGTTTCCCATATAGGTTTTGCTGACATAGCAGCCTGTATGAGAAGGGAAAGAAATGACACAGAGCCCAGGCTGCCTTTTCCTGGGGGCTGAGCTGATGGCCATCCCATCCCTAAGACACGCTGGCCAGGGCTCCTGCCTCATACTTGTCGCTGCCACCACAGCATGCATTGTATCCCACGACATGAGGCCCTGCAGCACCCTCACCTGTAACTAACACCCCAAGACATGTGCAAGTAGGTTTCTACGTAACTTCTCTGTTCTCCAGCCCTGCAGAACATGGTTCTGTCTCTGTTCGTGTGGGGGCTCCTTCCCTGTGGGTGCAGGGATGCTCCTTCCCAGATGCAGTATGAGGGTGAGCCATGGGGGGTGTCACATTATGTGCTCTCAGGGCATTTCCAGCTTTGCCATAGCTAAAATGCCCTGGCTTCCCTTCTCCAGGTGGGAAGGCCAGCCCCCAGAAGTTAGAGAAAGCAGGCTGGACTCACCAGCTGGGCAGCAAGGGTGGCAGAGATCATCAGTGCAACACTTCTGTGGTTTACAGGGAGTCACGCTGCTTACCACAGTCACCTTGAAGCAGAAAGATAGATGAGCATTATCAGGAGATGCCCCCATTGCATGTGGAACTCACCTCTCCCCCACAGAAACACACATCGGTGGGTCTGGGCACAGAGGAGCTGGGCGGCCTCCAACCCAGGTGGCCTTAGAGCGGCCTTTGCTGGTCAGTGGGGTGGTCCCGGGGGTGGCCTTCGCTGGAGAAATCCTCACTGTAGCTCTTTCTCATACACCTGCTTGCAGTCTAATGAGCAATAGGAGCAGGTACGACCTTGGGAAACACGTTTTTTTAGTTTCCAAATACCTGTGCTTCTGCTGGGGACTTTTCTTTGCTGTCGTTATTTCGATCTGCATGCCCAGAACTATGCCTGACTTGTTGTGAGCCTTTGACCTTTAGTGAACACTTTCTTATTCCAGTATGTAATTTTCCACTACTGTACATACACTGCATCAAGATAGCAGATTGTTTAAATCGCTGTGGTGATGCACACACGTGTGTAACCCAGCACTGTACCAGACGGAGGCAGGAGGACGTCCATCAAGTTCTAGCTTAGCATAAGCAACTTAGTGAGAGCCTGTTTCAAAATGAGAGAATATGTGGGGATGTTGCTTGGTGTAAAAGTCCTGGGTTCATTTTCTAGTACCACTAAAAAAAGTAAGGGAGGGAGGAAGGAGAGAGGGAGAGGAAAAGGAAGAGAAAGAAGAGGGAGGGACGGGGAAGAGGGAGCAGGAGGAGGGGAAGAAGATGACAATGAAGAGAAAGAAGGAGGAGAAGAGAGAGAAGAGGAAACATCCATGAAAGGGGAGCTAGGACCTGCGGGTTTGTGTACCTATCTCTGTGTACATATGATTTACTTGGCTGTATGTATGCATACACACATGGAATCTTTCTTGTATTACTGAGGTGGGACCCAGGACCTTGTGCAGGCTTGGCATGGACTCCACCACTCAGCAACATTCTCAGCCTCCTCCCCTTTTTCCATTTTGAGGCAGGGTCTCACTAAGTTGCTCGGGCTGGCCTTGAACTTGTGATATTCTTGCCTCAGTTTTCCAAGTACTTGGGGTTACAGGTATGCACCATTGCACCCAGCCCCCATAATTCAGCATTCTTACTTATTAAAAATCTGGTTGATCTTCTGGCTTTTCAGTTACATTAAATCTCCTAATAAATTTATAGATTTGTAGATTTCATTAATTATGTCAATTTTTGCCTCTTGCATTTTGCAACTGTGTTACTATATAAAAACAATCTCATGATTGTTTCTACAGTACAGTGTTCTTCACTAACCTTACACTATATGTGTTCCTGAATCCAACTGTTGCTACAATTTATTTGTCACTCCAAAATCAGTGGCACTTTTGTGGCCATTTGTTAATAGCCACAGAGTGGCAAAAAGATGCATTCATCTGACACAGTTCCAGTGAAGTTCACCAAGGTGTGACCCCTCTTCCTTCCTCTGTAAGTGTCCTTTAGGGAAACTGAGGCAGGAGGATCAAAAGTACAAGCCAAGCCTGGGTAAGTTACTGACTTCTGAAGGCCCTGTCTTAAAAAAAAAAAAAAAGAAAAAGAGGGCTGGGGATTTAGCTCAGTGTCATAAGCACCTGCCTTGCAAGCAGGCAGTGGTGAGTTCGATCCCTGGTACCCAAAAAGAAAAGAAAAAAAAAAAAAAAAGGGAAAAAGCCTAGAGATGTATTCTGTAGTTTATTGAGTATTATATGTTTTCCCATTTTTGTTGTGAGTTTGTTGCCAATTTTAGTATTTAAAACAGCTCCAAACATTGAGCAAAGGCTGTGAGGCTCTTTTCCGAGAAAACACCTTAGAGAAGCTCCATGCAGATGTGTGTTCCATCGCTGCCCCTGAGCTCTGGTCTTTTTTCCAGCCAGGAAGTTCCAACCCAAGGGGACTGCTGGCGCGGAGCCACTGTAGTCACCCGGTGGAGGACATTTCTCAAGGCAGGCTGCTCGGTCCTGGGCAACAGCAGGACTCGGAACTCAGCAAAACTTTCACAAGGGGCAGCCAGCCACAAGAGCGGGACGCGCCACTCTTTGGACACGAACTCCAGCTACCAGGGCCCGAGGGAGGGAGCCGCCTCGAGAACGGGTCAGCAGCAGAGCAGGCGGGAAGGGACCCAGGCTCTGTGCCCTCCCCACCCCACCCCGACTCAGGCTGTGGGAGTGGTTCCGGTTTTTTGTTTCGTTAGTGATAGGATGCTTAGGAGCATGCTGGAGATCTTTGGGTTTGATCCTTAAGTCTGCCACGGAATTGCGTAAATTAATAAAAACTGAAAGTAAAATAAAAATGAATACAGTTCCAGATAAATTTCTCATACCCTAAAAGCACACATTTGAAAAAGTACAGTTAGTGTGCCTTGGTTATGTAGTCACTGGCGCTCTTTTGGTAAGTGCTAAAAGTCTCAAATGACTTCAAAATAAAAATTTAAAATTTAAAAGCCATTCTGTAATAAAGAAAAAATAATAAAACTAGGAGAGGAGGAATCCAGGCTCCTCTCACTGAACTCAGCCCAATCAGGAAGTTGCAGAGCTGGGTTTTTTTTCAGGGAGGCTGGGTTCGCCTACCTTTGATCTGGGTGATGAAACCTAATGGTCTGATTGTTTGATTAACTTCCATTCTGAATTAGCCCTGCGGCTCCCGCGCAGCAGACATTATTTCCTTACCCAGGGTAGGTGCCTTCACTTCCTGTGCAGCTAGAGCCGTGAGGGGGCCTGCTGGAAAGTGACATCCTCAGCGGGGGGCCTGAGGCACCGAGAACACTTCACAGAAACCCTGGTCCTGTGCAGTGCTAGCAAACCCGAGTCAAAGAAACCTGGCAAGGCAGTAGAATTCCATACATTCTCCTTTAAGCACGGGCCATGTTTATGTGCTGCTGGTTGCTTTTTGGACACATAAATAGTATCTTTTTTCTTCTGTTTTAGACAGTCTTTTTAAAGATAATGTAGTTCTGGCTGGCCTTGAACTCATTAGGTAATCCTGGCTGACTTGGAACTCGCTGCCATCCTCCTGTCTCAGTTTCCCAAGTGCTGGGGTTACAACCTGTATAGTTATTGTGACAATTCTCCGACGTTTACTAGGATAAAAGTTAATGATACTCAAGAAACGAGGAATCAGTGCGTCCCTGGTGTAACCATTTCTGTGCGAAAGCTACACAGTGCAGAAACAGTAGAGTGACTTTACAGTGAAGCTCGGGTGTACAAAACAGACTCCTCAGCTGTCTGGTCCCCGGCCGCCCCCTCCCCCCAACCCAGCCAGGTAGCCAGCCTGCGCGCAGGTGTTCACCAGCTGCACCCTAAACTAGCTGGAAGGCAGCGTCGCGAGATGGGCGCAGCCGCCCCTCGTTGCCCACCATCACCCTCGCCACTGTCCCACCTGGCCGAGCTGAGACTGCAGAATGTGGGCGATCCGATGTTCCCGGACCGCTGGCAAGGGCGCGCGCCTTTCCGGGCCCGCGGAGCTCGCACCTTTATCTCTTGGCGCCGATTTATCACCCTACTCATCTGCATGGTACTCACCTGCAAAGTGAGAAGCAGCAGCAGCTGCGCCGTGATGACCATCCTTTTGACCCGCGATCAAAACGTGTCTGGACAGCAGAGTCAGTAAAAGCGGTGTCTCAAGGCCCAGTAAACGCTAGGCAGCCAAAGGTGAGCTTGTTTATAAATCCCTGGCTTTACCAGGGTGACACATTTTGGTGGTGTCATTTTTCCTCTGCTGCTCACCAGCTCTTTGGGATTTCACAATTGCATGAGGTAAATTGTTACTAAACTGTTAGTGGAATGTCACTGAGTGGCCCTGGCTGGTTTAGCTGGGTAGGGGTGGGGACAGTCGACCCTGGCAGCACAGTTTTTTTGGGTGTCATTATTGGCCAAAAGGAAAATTGTATGGTAACAATGTAGTCCACTTTTAAGAAGGTGAAGATTCAAGTACATCAAAATATGAATGTTACATCCTGCAGTTCATTGTGCTGTTAGATTGTCTCCAGGTGTCATTTAATTTTCTTTTTAAATAGCTTGATATCTTCAGATAGGTCAGAAAATTGCAAATTGAAGGACCTCCCTGAGCAGCAGGAACTCTAGCTATGTCACTGCTGTTAGTAGCATGCAAGACGCCATAACCCCCCAATACTCGTAGAATTGCCATATGGTCAGTCATTTCGCTCCCCCAAAGAACCGGAATCGGTGCCTGGTGCAGTGTTTCCTTCTCTCACATTCACAGCAATGTGAATTCACAGTTAATCCCAAGTCTAAGGCACAAACCGCCTCAGTGTGCATGGCTGGAGGAATGGGTGGACTGTGGGCCACTTACAGGGGAGAAGAGGATTCAGGCCGTAAGAAGGAAGGAAATTCTGCCCCTTGGCCACAGCACGGATGTACTGAGAGGAATAAGTCACAAGAAGGCAAATTCTGCATGAATCCATTTCAGTGAGGTCCCTAGAGGGCTTCCATCTATGAAGACAGAAAATAGGATGGGGTGTAAGGGGTCTGGGAAGGGGTTGAGGGTTCCATATTCAGTAGAGATTGAGTTTCAGCTTGGAAAAGATGAAAATTGCTCTGAAGACAGTGGTGATGGTGAAAACCTTGTGAGTGTGTTTAAAGTAATAAGACAGGTCCCCCCCCCAACATTTTTACAAAACTACATTTTAAATATAGCCAGTTTCAGAAGCAAATGGAGTTCTGTGATAGAACACTTGCCCAGCATGAATTGTTGGAATCTGATATCAAATCAAATGGAAGGCCTTTTGCATTCAGGAGATGGAAGGCAACTGTTTATTATGCTAGTAGGCTTGGGACCAAGTCTAAATCATCAGCCCCATGTCAGCTTTGGGTTTAGTTTATATAGGATTTGCAAGCAGGAACTACTAAGCTGAAAGCAGCTTGTTGTATAATTGGCTACACGAATCAAGTCATGTGTTGTCTGGCAGGTTTATGTTGGTCCAGTTGGTCAGAGGGATTGTTCATCACAAGGTGGGAGAATATAGGGAGGGAGCTGGGGTTGAGGGGGTGGTTGAAATTAAGCATGTCCTTGACTAGTTTATCTGGGTTAGACAATACATTAGACTAGACTATGTTTATATGGCAAGCAGTACAGGCAATCCAGATGGAAGCGGTCAGACTCAGCAAGATGGGGCGATCTCTAAATTGCAGCAGATATGGTCAGTTATTGGGGATCACAAATTCACAGTGGCTGATTTTGCATACTTCCCTAAAAGATTAAAGGAGGCTTTGGATTATTCTCTTATCCTTTTTAGACTTCCCATTAACTATTTAGATGGGCATCCTCTCCCACCCACTAAGACTAAACAAAGGCTTCTAAAATGAAAAAAGAACACCCCAAAGCAAGATCCTTCTTAGCATAAGATCGTCTCTACCCTCTTGAGTCATGCCAGGCTTATAGGATTATTTATTGCCTGCAGTGTCATCAACCTCTGAACCTTCTGCTAATCTGAAATCTTCCTCCAACCTGCAATCTTCTGATAGCTCCTTCTATCATTGTATACACCCACTGCATTATACACACCCAATAAATGTTATCTGGTTTGGAGTGTCTGGGCCCTTGCCTGTCCTAAGGTATTGATCTTCCAACACCCACCCCCATCTTGCATTACTAAATTTGTCCCTGATTCTTATTTTATTCCTTAGTTGTACCACTCATTCAGGCAGGCTCATTCAGGATCTTAGCCAGGTCCCTGATGCTTGGCACCTGCCTGAACAGGGACCTGAGAGGGAAGATCCACCTGAGTGGAAAAAACAAGATGCGAGACAGTGAGAGGATGCCACAGGATGAAGTTGGAGATGTCCAAATAGCAAGTGGAAGGTAATGCACGTGGTGCCATGCAAAGCTCTCAGTTAGCTTAGATAATGGGGCAGAATTTGTCAGTAAAAGAACAAAGATATATATAGTTAGCATTTATATTTTTGAAGCATTAGAATTTAAGCCAGTACCTGTAAATTGACAAAAATGTTTTAAAGATTGTTAAATATAATTTGTGGTTTCTGTGGGGGAGAACCTTAGATATTCAAAATTGTGATAGGGTGTGATAATATTTAAAGAAGAGCTGAACCTGTTTCTCCTGAGACCTTTTCAGCTTGGACTTTGGTAAAATCTGTTATAGGTTTTGTTAGGGCTAGTGCCTTCAAAGTTTCTGTGTTAGAATTGGAATAGAGAGGATAAGTAAGTAAAAAAAGAAATAAATAAGAGGCTTCCCGCTGTGTCCTTTCTCAGACCCAGAGCCAACTGGGGCTTTTGATACTCCTTGATTTATGTCTTCAGACTATTTAAAACATTCCAAACCTTGTCTGCCTAAATACCAACAGGCTGTTGGTGTTTCCCAATGGTAGTTAGACATGATCTTCATAATCAAAATTAGCTTGTGCCTGGACATTGGATGTTTGATCTTAAACTACTTAAAAAATTAAAACTGTGGTAAATAATTGAGCTCAGGGACTATTCACCACAGATTCATTAGTGGCTCTAGTCAATATCTTCATCTCAATATGAAGGAACACTTCCTTCTTTAAAATCAGTGTTAATGTAAAGGGAAATACTGATTATGATGCTATTTCACAATTACGATTGTACTGTAAAAATGGTCAAAATTGCCTTATGTCCAGACTTGCTTTGCACTAAAGCAATAATCCTTACTTGTTTTCAAGTATAAATGAGAGCTACCGGCCTGTTAGAAAAAAGTTACATGTGGCTATCAAAACTGCAATTTGGATATTACAATCAGATAAACTATAAGCCTAATAATTGTCTTTGGTTTAATAACTTTTTGCTTTTACAAATGTAAAATGTTTCATTCCTTCTGGTTCTTATTAAAAGAGATCTCTGTTAATTGACCTACAAAAATATTCTGGCTAGTTTATTTATACTTACAAATATAAAGACTATAAAAGAGTCATCATAATTCATATTGGTCAATTATATTAGAGTGTACTCTGATTTTGTAAGGTGTTTGTCTGTTAATCTGTCTATTTGCTTGTTAGGTCTGTCCAATCTATGTATGTTTTTGTCATATTCATAAGCAGCTGTTTTTTTAATTTGAGCTCAACAATTTTTTCTTTTTCTTTAGCATTTTTGGATCATTTGTTCAAAATTTAACATGGGTTATAGGTTTAAAACTATGCTTTCACCTGAGTTGCCGGTGGTTAAAACAATATTGAAGCTGGGTTGGTAAAATTTGTTGTTTATGTATTATAATTCAAAAATCTCTGATTGGTCAAATTATTTGTTAAATGTTATGATTTGATTCTCATAGGTCATCAGAAATTTATTAAGGTAATAAAATGGGGACCCTTCAGGCTTAGGAGAACTATTTGAAAAGATTCCCTTTTGGTGGATAAAGAAACAGCCCTTGGGAAAAAAATCCTATCCATTGTTTATTCATTCATGGGAAGTCCCAATAATCTCTATAACCTTATGGGAAATATCCAAATAAATGTTAAAGTATTATTTTGACATGTTTAAATTGGTCGTCATCAAAAGGTTAAGTTTTCTAGAAGTAATACAGTAAGATTTTCACATAAAAGATGCTTTTGGTACAACACCAAATTAAGAAATCAAAGTTTTCATATGGCTGTGACAATTGCCTGCTGTTCTTGTGTTGTATGAAATGTATTCATGCCTCCAGATCTGCAGGTCTTCCAAAGTATGAAGCAGGGACTGTTTATGGTGATAGACTTTCTTTCAGATTCAGACCTCTGCCTTTAACAAAACCTTATGTGATGTACATCCCACTAAAGTTCAACAAGTTTGGTAAAAGCTTTTTATGTATTAGGTAGAGATGACTGACTAAAAGGGATATTTTCTGCCAGAATGAAAATTCAGATTGTCATAAAATATCACAATTGTCACATTACAAAATTATGTATGATTTTGACTCCAAATTCTCTATGTAAAACATGTAACTGTTAATATTCTATAGGGATTAAATACTAGGATATCCATGGTTGACAAAAAATAATGGTTCTATTTTATATTCTAAGGTGCTTGATATTCAGATAAGGTAGTAATGTTAAACTTATTATATTATTACAATGTCATGTTACCAGTCTTTCCTTCTGTATATTCAACAATTGAGGTTTGGAGATGAAAAACTAGAAAGATCAATGGGCTAAGAAGACAGTCAATATTTTGGCTCCAGCCTTCTGAGGTCAATGAGGACCCAGGATATAAGAAAAACTCTGCACTGACATCCCATAACCCTGTGAGTACCTGGTATTCTGGCTAAGGAGATTATGGGACCACCAAGAAGTGTGATCTATGATAAGTAGCATGCCTAAAGAGAATCACCAGAAGAAAAATCTCCCAAGCTTTCACAGAAAGCAATTTGGTGAAGCAATGGCCATGCCTCATCCTGATGGCTGACACTATCAAGAACTGAGAGGCTCTCTCCACAGCTCCAAGGCACATCCTTGGAGACTTAACTGACCTTGACAGATAGCAAGAGATTAATTTTAATTAGTACAGGTCTCTGTTTAACTTGGTCTTGAACATCCAGCTGGAAAGTATAATCAGAAGATATATAAAACAATGTCATAATAAGTCAGATATAGGAAGGAACTTCAATCATTAAGCTCTTCTGGAAGTTTTCAACTACCTCAGTAATGGACCACTGTTATGGGCAATTGAGAACAAATTACAATAATAGGTAAGAAATGCTAACTGCTGATACTACAAAAACAAAAAGAAGAATATACTCGGGACCATGAATTCATAATGGCTAATTTTACATACTTCTCTAAGGGGTAAATGGAGGCTTAGGTTTGTTGTATCACCTTTTTGAGACTTCCCATTAACTCTTGGGATGGGCCATTTTCTCTCTCCCACTAAGACTAAGACTTCTAAAATGAAAAATAACATTCCAGAGAAGGATCCCTCTTAGCATAAGATCATCTCCACCCTCTTGAGTCATCCCAGGATTATTCATTGCCTGCAGTGCAACTGACCTCTGAATCTTCCACTGACCTGAAATGTTCCACTAACCTGCAATCTTTTGCTAGCCTCTCCTACCATCGTAAACTTACTGCACTGTCTACACTCAAGAAATAGTGTCTGGTTTGGAGTATCTGGCCTTTGCTTGTCCTGAAGCACTGACCTTCCAGCCCCCATCATGTATTACTAAACTTGTCTCTCTTTCTTATTTCATCCTTTAGCTATACCTCTCATACAGACAATTGGGGATCTTGGCGAGGTCCTCAGTAGGCAGTCAAGGCTAACTGAGTCTAAGAGTGAACTATGTTGTGGACCAGGTGAGCACATCTTGTTTTAATAGAGCATCAAACTGTTGGTTTTTAACTTTTTTGTCACAGAATGAGGCCCTGGGTACCTTCTCTCCTGCTTCTGCCCTTCTCTTCAGTTCTGTTTTAAAGTCATGTCCCCTCTGATTGAGAATGCTGTTTTGGTTTGAGAAAATGTGAGAGGTGATTTGTCAGCTCTGGTTTCCGGCCTGATTGGTCTTGTAATACAGAATGAAATGATTGCTGAGAATTTTCACAAAATGCACAAGTGTGGAGAGAGGGTATGAAGCTCGGTCCCAGAACCAACCTCAGCATTCACCTATCCAAATGTCCCACACCTGCCTGTCCTTTGGCATGAGAATGGGGACCGGCTACCTGCTAGGTGGTGCAGATGCTGTAAGGTAGGTGATTCACCAAGGAAACCTCTGTGATTTGAAGTTTATAGTCTCTGTTCCTAGACAAATACTAAAGACATCAGAGGCCACCCTGTTATCACCAACCTCAACTTTTGAGCATTTCCAATCTACCTGATTCCACTGAGTTTTTAGAATTGAAATATATAACTGACATTTTACAAACTTGGAGTACAGGAATCAATAGAAATTACTTGTGGACTATAAAATAGGCCTATACCTGTGACAGTGAACCCTCTAGAGCTTTCAGTAAAAGAAACAGCTCTCTGTAGCATCTGTGCTGAAGGTTCACCCCACTGGACTGTATAACATTACACTACCCCAGTTCAGGCAAGAGAGGGAGGAGGATGCAGCTGGAAATTGGAAAAAGATATAAACCTGCAGATTTAAGAAGTCAGTGAACCCCAAATAGGGTAAAGTGAAAAGAATGCCCTGGGAGATACATCTTAATCCAGCTTCTAAAAACTAGGGACAGATAACATCTTGAAGCAGTGAAATCGAAAAAGCCCCTTCTTATATTTGAGTCACAGAGATGTGGCTCTTTACAAGCCACCAAAAATAAAGGAAGTGGCAAAGCACTTTCAAGAACCGAAAGAAAAGGCTGCAGGTCCAGAATTCTATCTTGAGTCAACAGTCCTGTGTTACATCCGTTTCTCTAGTAAACACTGCCTGATAGACCTGAGGTGTGAGACAGAACCATCAAGACAGAGAGCACAGTGAAGAAAGGCTTCTCACCTCCTGGCAGCCAGAAAGCAGAAAGAGAGAAAGAGGGACAGAAGGGTGGGAAAGGCAGAGAGACATGGAGACAGATGAGAAGAAGGGACATAGGCCCAGATTCGGTCCCCAAGGTCATGCACGGAGGGATCACTGCCTTCCACTAGGCTCCACCACATGGGCTTCCATCACATCCTAAGAATGCCATCAAATCAGGCCTTCATCAGTGGAATTATCCACTTGATCCAATCATATTCTCCCAAGCCCATCTCCAGCCATGGTTTAGGGGATTCTGGATTTCAACCATAACAAAAACTTTGATAGGGGGAGAGAGGAAGTGAATGATACAAACCAGGCATATTGCACCCATTTGATTTTTTTAAAAAAGTAATTATCAGGCTATGAGGGGTATTTGGAAATATTATATGATATTGAGAATTTTTCTTGATTTTTAAAACATAAGGAATTAAAAAATCCTTTATTACCCTTGGAGATCAATGCTACATTATTTTGAATCAAATGATGACTGAGGATTGTGGGCCCCAAATAACTGAAGAATAAGTTTGTGGGTGTGGTAAGGCAAGGAGTGGGGTATCAGTGAGTCAAGCTATCTCTGCATTGGGCCTATCAGGCTCGTCCTTCTCCATGTACCTGAGGGGCCACAGCTCCTGGTCCCAAGCCTGCAGGCCAGAGATGTTCTCCCGGAACCCTTAGACATGTAAACCAGTGTAGTCACTATGTGATGCAGTAGGGTGAGTCTTCAAAAACTGAAATAGAAACTCCATTCAACCTAACTAGCTAGTCCCTTTCTAGGTATCTTTCAGAAACACTTTGTATGGGAACCCTCATACCATTCCCTCCCCAGTGGTTCACCTGAGCAAAAGACATCAACCTCTGTCTAGGGTAGGAGCTTACCAGCCAGCTAGGACACCTGCCTGACTCCACAAATGAAGACAAGCCTTGGTCAGCTAGAGTCCTTGGCCTGCCCACAGAGGACATTCTCTTCAACTTAGGTAGTTGTAATGTATTTCTGGATGTTTTTACCATCCTTAAAGCATTTGCCTGCATTGTCTGTGCCCGATAATTGCGGGAGGCTAAGTTTGGAGGTGTTTGCTTGGATTATCTGACGGAGAACATCTCAAGGCATCACCCCACTCAGGGAGCAGTGTGGGTATTACTGACTGCTCTTAACCAAACTTACAGTTAGAACTGGAAGGAAAAAAGAGGAGAGCTGAAAGATTTAGAGGACTTGCATCCTGGCTGGAAAAGGAGGGCATCTAAAGGCATAGCCAAGGAGGGGATGGTCGCTAAAGAGATTAGCACCATTCAAACAAATCCAAGCACTCACCACTAGGGCAACAAGAAAGATGCATTAAGGGCATGACAGGAGCCTTCAGGTCCACGGCCAAAAAAACTCAGAGGTATAGAAATACAATTTTATTTCAAACACTTTCCAGAGCAGAGTCTTTTTGAGGATGGGGAGTTTGCTTGCCTGGGATCTCATAAAACAGAAAGGCATCCACAGGCCACTGCAGCCATGGTTCAAGAGGGCCCAGGTGCATCGTGTGCTGGGAGTATACTTTGATGCTGTCCAAGTGCTGCTGGATTTATAGGCATGTGGGCTTCCACCAGGATTTCAGACACCTATGATGCTGGACTGTTTGGCAGGGTCAGTACTTCTACAAATGTTTATGGACAGGGTGATTCATGAAGCTGTGTGTGAAGCAGAAGCTGAGCGTAGCTTCCCAGAAGGAAGTGGCTGGCCCCTCTGTGAATCAGGGCTTTGGGATTTGGTGGCCATCGGGCTGTCACTTGCTTCTGTCAAGGGGCTGCTAACCACAGTTCTTTATGGAAGAACAACATGCTCTCAGAATCCATGTTTTCTTAGAAAACAGATGAGACCAGGAGAGGTAGAATGCATACAATCATCATTGGCCAGTTTCTGCTCTCTAAAAGTGCAAAAATCAGACAATGTCTTAGTAACAGGAGGACCTGGAATTTTCCCCCCAGCGGTTCCATGATAATGAACAAATCAACATTCCTAATTACTGGTTCTGTGGACATGGCAGCCCTGAGTGAGAAGGCCAGAGCACTGGGCAGACAAGGGCAGGGAGGCAAGGACAGGATGCCTGGCTTCCACACATGAGGGCAGGTGACAGAGCCCTCCCCAAGGTAGTGTGCTGATCTCACGTAGGCCAGAAGGCCTCTCCCATCCAGGTGCTGTTTGAAGAAATGGTTTACTACCAGTCCCAAGCCGGACCCATGACCTCGAGGAGAATCACCCCAGGAGGCATCATGTAGCACCTAAGCCACGTAGGGTGACCCACAAATTCCCAGTCTCTCTGTGTTGGCAGTGGAAGTTGCAGTCTTGGCAATAGGACTAGGTGTACATGTCCTGTCCCAGAACACAGCCCTGGACAGAGACCTTAAAGACCCAGAGGCTTAGTCTTCCTGTGGGTAAGGCGAAGCCCAATTCCACTAAGGACTTGATTGCTTACTTTTTATAATACCTGTGCTAAAATATATGTATTTACACAGTTTCCTTTTTAAAGAGTGCAGTTCATTAATTTTAGGTGCATTTACATTGTTTTGCAGTCATTACCTCCCCCAGCATCCTAACTTTTTCATCTGCACAAACTGAAGCTCTGTTTCTATTTAACAATGAATTCGAGTTCCTTTCACCACTGTTGTACTCTTTTTCTAGATCTTATAACTCTAGAGACCTCATATAAGTGGAATTACATAACATTTGTCCTTTAGTAACTCCCATATTTGTCTTTGCACAGTGTCCTTGGTGTTGTGTGTTGTAGTGTCCTCCCCTTTAAGGCTGAATATTATTTCACTCAATGCATTTACACTTTTCATCTGTCCATTCATCCATCCGTGGGCACTTAGTTGGCTTCCTCCTCTTGGCTGCTATGAATATGGGGGTAAACCTCTTTTTGAGTCAGGCTGTTAGTTCTTTTGGAGAATACTCAGGTTGGGATTGTTGGCTCGTATGATAACGCAATTTGTAATAGTCTATGAAACACTTGTACTGTTTTCCACAATAGCTGCACTATATTCTTAAAAAGTCTATCCTTTGCCCTTTGAATAGTACTGGCTCAAAAGTCTATTTTGTTTCCCAGAGAACTGCTAAAAATCCCAAGAACATATAATGAACAGTAAAATGTGTTTAAATTATTTACCCATAACAAGGAATGAAGTACTAATACATGCTATGACCTGTGCAAATCTCAAAAACATTATTTCTGTAAAAGGAGCCAGACATAAAAGGATTCATGTAGTCTGATGCCTTTTGCATGAAGTGTCCAGAAGAGGCCCATCTATTGGGATAGAAAGCTGATTGGTGATGCCAAGACCTGGGACATCATTATATAATGCTGGTAGAGACTCCTTTCATGGAGATAGGTGTATTTTGGAATTTTCAGGAGGAGGTGGTATTAAGTGACACTAAACCATCAACTTTAAAATGGTTGATTTGTGGTGGTGGTGGGGGCAAGTGGGTTTATTGCTGGTGAAAATGATCAAAGTATATTACGTACATGTATGAATGTACCAAAATGAAGCCTACAAATTGTCTAACAAATACACACTAATTAAAAATGTGGAAAAAATGGTTAATTTTACATTGCATAACTTTTACCCCAGTAAAACATACATTTAAGAAGAAAAACCAAAGGTCTCTTACTTGAATGAGCCATCCCGCAGACCGTGTTTGCTGTGGCATTGCATTCCACCAGGACAGGGATCCCAGCATCACACCTGGAGTGAAACATCCTCAGTTCTGGCCCTCTGGGACCCAACCCTACCACTGCCAGGAGAAAGGCTCTGCAGCAGCCTCCTGGTGCCCAGGAGAGGCCTGGTGCATGCCAGACTTCCTCCTAGAGGCACCATGAGACTGCATGGCTGGCCTCTTAGCTACTGCCACCCCATCAGCCTTTTAGACAGCATTGCTATTATTCTCCCTAGCAGCCCAAAGTTGATCAATTTTCTTCTTCTAGAAATACCTATAGCCTTGTTGGAGGCCTATGGATTGAAGGGAAAAGAGGAACTTGATTAGATCATAAAGGTTCTAACTTCTTCAGTGGATCAATCCACTGAAGAGATCATAATTCAGTGACGTTTTGGAGCTGATAGAAACAGGAGGTAGCACCTCATTGAAAGGAGTGGGTCAGAGGTGTGAGCCTGGGGCTGTATATTGTCCCTGGATCCTTTCTCTTGGGTTTTTCCCTTCTCATTTCCTGGCCATGTTCTACCACCCCATTCTTCTGCCATGATGTTTCTGCCTCATCACAACACAGAAACAGTGGAGCCAGCTGACCAGGGACTGACACATTTGAAACCGTGAACCAAAATAAACCTTTCCTCCTTCAAGATGTTTGGTCATTTTGAAAGAAAGCTTAACACAGATGAGCACTGTCTCCAGACAGGTAGCTAGGAAACAAATTGATGATTTGTTTGCTTGAACCTTCATAGTACAGATACTATTTACTTACTCCAGATGTGGAAACTAAGGCTGGAGTGACCCAAAGAAAAGCAAGCAGTGAGGGGCGGTTGGAGAACCCCTTCTTGGCTGTACCTCTTGCACTGGAAGCAGTGTTCCACACACTTTTCTGAGTCGCAGTAGTAGTTTTCTGCACATTGACACTCCCTGTCAGAGGTCAAGGAGCAGTTTGAAACTGGATTCTGGTCTGTTAGAGAGAAAATTAAGGACCAGTTATCAGTGTGGGATTCTGTTATATTGTTCACTGGACACAACTCAGTAAGGCCCCCCCAGGGCTCTTGAATCTGGGGATAGAATCTGCCCTCACTCTGTCTTTCAACACAGGAACAAAAAAAGGTTACAATCAGATCATTTTTTCTGTGATCTCAGGAGAGTCCAGCAGGAGCTCTGCAGTCTAGGCTAGGATGGGAGCAAGGTGAACCTTGCCAGGCATGGTCACTATGCCTGTAATCCCAGCACTTGGGAGGCCTAGGCAAGAGGATTGCCGAGAGTTTGAGGCCAGCCTGGGCTACAGAGTGAGTTTAGGGCCAGCCTGAACTGCATAGCAAGACCCTGTCTCAAAACAAACAAACACACCAAAAAAAAAAAAAAAAAACCCCAAAACAAAACAAAACAAAAAAACCCCCCCAAAACAAAAAACAAACAAACCAAGAAAAACAAAATCAGTAACAGAATGATCCTTGAGAAACATCCCCAAACTTTTGCTTTCATTTTAACCCTATAAGAAGGGAACTCCAGTCATATATGTTCTTCTTTGTGGGGGAAGCTGTTCTGGAGATGGAATGTAGGGTCCTACCCATGCTGGAAAAGCACCCTACCTCTGTAATATCACCTACCAGCCCTGTAATATCTTCTCTTACTGGCATACAGACAGCTTTTCCATGTTCTGGACACAGGCCTTGCATAGAGGTAACATAGATTCTCCCATTTCATGGCTTAAGATTTCAAGTTTTTATGTCTATTGATGGCTGCATCATTCTAAAGTACTGGTGTGTATCAATCTTATCCATGGTGCTGTGATGTTTTATGAGTTACATACATACTGTCTGGTGCCTTAAAGTCCTAGTCTGTTTTCTTCTTGCAGCCTTGCTTCTCCTGTGTAGACCTCAGTATACTGATGTTCATGTCTGGGGACAGCCAGAGCTCCACCCTGAGCTGGCAGTTTTCCATATGGATTATCAGTTATCCACATTTAGGATTCTATTTGAAGCCATGTGCTGCAAACCATGGGTTCACCTCTGAGCCATGTCTTTCTGGCCCACTGCTGGCCCACAGGTCCCCCAACCCAGCCCTGCATGTACTCAGGCCATCCTCATTTTTCCCTCACATAGAGCTGTGACATCAGGGTAGGCCTAGTGCTGGCTGGGCTGTGGTCCTCAGGAGCATTGTAGCACCTGCTAGCTTCTCATTTCAAAAAAATTCTTGTTAGGAATCTCATTAGGAGTGCACTGGTTCTAAGGGTCATTCCACGGAGAATAACTGACATGTTAGTGAGACTGACTTTTTTCATGCAATGTTTTTGTCATTTTCTGCATAATTACTGTAGACTGATGTGAATGTTGTTTGCTCATTTTATATATCCTCTGCTAAATTCATTCCAGTATCTCACATGGATTTTTGCTAATGCAAACATGTATTATTTTTTAATTACATTTTTATAAAAACAATTTGTTGTTGACACATAGAAATTTAGATGAATTTTTGTGTATGAATCTTATATACAGCACTTTTGTTAGATGCCTTAAAAATCCTAACAGTTTGTAGATTGATGCTTTAGCTCTGTATGTGTGTCATCATGGTAAAGAGGAGCCCCATGAGTGTTCCAAGAACCACACCCTGTGAGGAATACATTGCCTGCTCCATCTCAGACAGACAGAGCCACCTTTCTTGTGTGAGATCTCTGTAAGCCAGGAGTAGAGGACATATTTTAAAGTCAGTAAAGGGCTGGGATGTAGTTCAGTGGTGGAGCACTTGCTTACTTTGAATTTCCAGGGCCCTGTGTTCAATTCCCAGTACTGGAGGGGGGAGGGGTGGTGGATAAAAAGCAAAGAGAAAACAAACAAACAAAAAATAGCAACAGAACAATCACAATCACCTTTGCCTGCCCATAGCCACACTTACCCTCCTTCCTGCAGTCGGAGCAGGGAGAGCATAATGGCTGGAGGTTGGGGTGGGCCATGAAGGTTCTTCCAGACTCACAAGATGCACACTCTGCAGCTCCATGGTTTTCCTGGCAGAGTTTGGTGTCATGCTCGCCTGTATGAGGAAGTGAGACAGGTGACATAGGGTCAGGGTGCCTTCTCCAGGAGGTTCCAACCTACAGACTGTGCGGCTGGTTACTCATTCCTGAGGCACATCGTGAAGAGGTCACCTACACAGTACCTGTTCCAGGACCTGCAATATCCTTGGCTTAAGACTATGGCACCCACCATAGTCTTAAGCTAAATTTGATGTTCATGTGTCCCCAGGAACTGAGGGCCCTCCGCAGAATGCACAGGTGTATGGTTTTGAGCCTGCATGGTGGGTTCACCAAGACCTTGCAGGTGCCTGTTCATCCATCACAATCTCCTGTCTCAAGTTCCTAAAGTTCCCAAAGCCAGTTCATTTGAGGAACATTGGAGCTCTAGAAAGAAGTGTTCAACCAAGGTGCAGCAGGGCTCCTGCTCTAGTGCTCTCCTGTAAGGGCTTCAACAGCAGCATAGTTGAGACAGGCCCACCTCCTGGCTACATACACCTCACATATCCCACACATGTGCTGAGTTCAGCAGACGTTAAGTCAGGACAGTCCTGCCTCCTCTATTCCTCTACTGTGTTGTGTATGATGTGCAGATGTGTGTGGGGTATGCAGATTTGCACATGTTAGTGTGTGCATGTGCTTATTCATATTTGAGCATGTATTCAGAGATTTGTCAACAGGGGAGTGTATGCACAGGTATGTTACAGATGTGTGTGTTGGTGAAGGTATGAATAGGTGTGTGAAGGTATGTGGGGATGGTGTGGTGCTGTGTGGCCCAGGTATGGATAAGCTTATACCTTTTTTTATATACCTCCTTGCAATAAGGAGTAGATATTTGGTCACGGAATAATATCATGAGGGTAAAGCTCACAGTAGTGGCATTAAGCTACCTCCTCACTAAGCTTCCTTTTCTCCACCTTGTCTTGGTCCATCCTGAAAGGAGAGACAGTGGGTGGGGGACTCAGCTTGGGCCTGCATCCATCACCTTCCTCCTCCAGCCCTATAGAACACAGCACAGCCCCTGAAGGACAACCAACTTCACTTCTCTGTTCACATAGGGGTTCTTCCAAAGCAAGTGCAGAGAAACTACTTGCCAAGTGAAGAGAGATGAACCATGGTGGCTGCCACATTGTACATATACAATGCTTTTCCAGCTCTTTTCTAGCTATGGGAGGCCTGGGAATGCATCCTGTACTCACCAGCTGAGCAACACTGGCAGCAGTGACCAGTATCAGACAAGCACTCGCCTGGATTACATGTGGTTGCACTTGTTGCCACGATCACCTTGAATCAGAAAGCAAGACTGGCATTATCAAGAGATGCCCCTACTGCTTGTGGCACTTACCCTCCAATCCCACAGGCTTATACACACATCCATGTCTCAGCACAGAGGAAGTGGATGGCTCAATCCTGAACCAGGGCTCCCACAGGGAAGCTTTTGCTGTGCAAATGTTCACTGTAACTTTCTCTCAAGGACCTCCTAGTGCTCTGACTTGCAATAGCAGTAGCACCTGTTCAGGTACAAACAACATTTCTGTGCTGTTTCTATCTCATGTGTTTGCACAATCAGAACTATAACCTATGTGGTTGGGATCCTTTGGTTTTCAGTGCACATTTTTTGTTCCAGTATGTAATTTTTTCAGTAGTTGCAAATACACTTTGTCAAGAAAGTGTTTTATCCAAATAGTGGTTTAGCACTTGCCTGCAACCCAGTGCTTATGAAGCACTAGGTTGCTGAAATTGTCATGCTTTGATCTGTATTGTTATGTGGTTATGTCCTCTTTTATCTCAATCTCCCCCTCATTCATTAAAAAATTATTTATTTTTATTATTTTTTTTAATTAAGGGGAAAAACTTTAAAAAATTAGCAGGATATATTATAGTAACTTTTTTGATATCCTATTAACTTGATTTGAAGCTCTGTATTACTCCCACTATCTTGTTTTGACTGATTAGACTCTGTTCGGTTCTGTTTGATAGTATCAAATTTGAGGGTATAGGCAACTTCTTTGAAGGCAAATTCACTATAATGCCCATACGGGTTTGACTATTATCTTCTTTTGAAGTCCTGTAATGTTTACAATGTTTAGGTTTTATTGGTCTTGTTCTGTACTGTTTTGTTCAACTTTATTATACCTAATGATATAGGCAATTCTTTTTAAGGAAACAAGAGGCATTATGGTAACCATTGTTGATAACCTTGTACTCTGTTTTTACATCATGTGCTATGTCTATCCTTGGTTTTGACTGACAGCTTTGTTTTGTCATATTTGGTTTAATTCTCTTCCCCCCCAAAAGTAATAAGAACTATGGGAGTAATAAAACCCAAAATGTGTAAATTTTGTTGTAAAAAAGAGAGGAAAAAAAGTGCTCTGAGGGATACAGCTGCAAGTGTAGGTGTGTTAAGACAGATGACCATATTACTGAGTTTTTGTTGGATCATTGAACACAACTGTTTGCAGTCTCACTGTTTGAATGTCTACTTTGTATGCTTTATTCCAGTAACTTGAACAACTACTTCTAAAATGACAATATGTAATCTATTAACCAGTGATTTCTTACCATTTTTTTGCAATTCTGTATTACTTGTACCCTTACACTGTTTTTTGTTTTGTTTTTTCTTTTTTTTCCTTTTAAATTAAAAAAAAAAACGAAATTCTAGCCCAGTACTTAAACCAAAAAGTAAAAAGGCAACTTAAACCAAAAAATAAAAAGGCTTGAGGATGTAGCTATCTATAAAGAATTTGGCTTCAATTTCCAATGTCATAAGAAGAAGAAGGAGAAGTTGGAGGAGGAAGAGCAGGAGGCAGAAGAAGAAGAAAGGAAAAAGAATATTATCTATGATTGAGAGCCTATGTTCTGTAAATTTGTGCATGTATTTTGTACACATATATTATACACATGTCTATATGTATATACACATATGAAATTGGTTAATTTTTCTGTTGTTTTTTTCCTTTATTGTGTTAATGGGGATTGAATTTAGGGCCACGCATACGGTATGTATGTATGCCACCACTTAGCTCATCCTCAGCCCTATTTTGTAATTTTTTTTGATTTTCAGAAGTGTCTTACTAAGTTGCCTAGGCTGAAGGGGAGACACTTTGCATATGAGCTTCCAGTTTATGATTGATTCATTATATAACTGGAGATTTTTCTTCTATGGTTAAAGGTACAAAATTAATAGTCACCACAGTTGGTCAGTTTCCATACTGTGCTTGATGGTTTGTTATTGCTAATTATACTACTTTAACTAGGATGCTATATCTGTTTTAATCAGTTGTTCTCACTTCTATAACAAACTGGGAAGTTGTGGGGTCACAACTTCACTACATGCCAGCATCAAAGGACTGGGGGCTGAGCCAAACAGGTACCAACATCTCACTCTTAATTAATTGGAAAGGTAGGACCTTGGGAGACACAAACCAAGAACCTCCCACACACAGATGATATCCCTGAAGAATAATCCTTGCCTAGAGAGGCTTTGATACTAATGATAAAGCTACCTACTACAAACATGTACAAGGAACAACACAGAAAGCAAAATAAAAGCTTTTGAAATAGAAAATGATAAGATGCAGAACTAAAATGAAGCCTTAGACTTCAGGCCAACCCAGAACAAGCAAGCCCAAGAGACAACAAGAGAGAGGAAAATGGAAGAGGCACACTTGAAATTCTGAAATGATAGCAACCAAAGTATAGAAACAAATCCATGAGGTTATAGAGGAAATCAGATCAGAAATAATCTCTCAGGTCCAAAAAAAAAAAAAAAAAAAGAAATATCAACATTCAAAAAAGAACTGCTCAGCAAATCTAGAGTAGAGATAGATAAAAGATAATGATGACAGGAAAAGGACAGAAACCATTAATGATCAATATAGGAAAGAAACAGAATGCATGAAACAGATTCAAACATATTCAGGAAAGTAAAAATGCCATTGAAAGCTGGCAAAACTGCTTGAATGAAACTGAGGATAGACTTCAGAACTTAAAGACAGGATTGTGGCCAACGATCATGAAAGGAAAGATTTCTTGAAAATAACAAAGCATCAAGAAATAAGAATTCAACAGCTGTAAGATGACTCAAAGAAAAATAATATAAGACTAATTGGTGTCAATGAAAAAGCAGGAGTCAACACCAAAGACATAAAAAAACCTATCTGCAGGAGTAACAGCAGAAAATTTCCTAAGCATAGGAAAAGAAACTGGCATACAAACAGATAAGAGAGACACATAGAACTCTAAACACCCACAACCAAAATAAATCTACTTGCAGACATATAATAATCAAGATTCCAGAAATTCAGTATGAGAACATATTATTAACAGCTCTGAGAAAAGAAACAGGTTCCATATAAGGAAAAGCCCATCAGAATCACAGTAGACTTCTCAACACAAACTCTCAAGTTAAGAAGAGCTCGGAATGAAGTATTTCAAGTCCCAAAAAAGAAGAAGAAGAAAAAAAAGCTTCCAGCCCAGATTAATGTACCCTATAAAACTACCTTTCCAAATTAATGCAGAAATAGGATACTTTCATGACAAAGAACAACTGAAAAAAATTTATGATCACCAAACCAACACACAAAGAGTAGTGAAAGGTATTTTAGATAAAGGTAAAAATGACCACAATTCCCAGAACAATAATAAAAATGAACCACCAAGCAGGGCAAACAGTTAAACAAAAGGGTAAAGCAGGGAATCAACAGCAGAAAAATAAAATGACAAAACTAAATCAGTACATATCAATTGTAACCATCAACATAAATGGCCTCAATTTACCAATCAAAAGAAACAGACTGGAAGAATGAATCAAGAAACAAGATCCAACAATATGCTATATACAAGAAACATTTAACTCAAAAAGAAATTCATAGACCAAAAGTCAAAGGATGGAAAACAATACTCTATGCAAGAGGAACCCAGAAAAAAACAGAGTTCTGCTTTCAGACAATGTGAACTTCAAACCAAGAATGATCAAAAGAGATAAAAAAGGTCACTACACATTTTTTAGGGGGAAATTTTGAGAGGAGGTGATAACTGAAAGGATTTTGCCCCAATTGGGACACTGTAGCTGGTGAAAAGCTTGGAGGTGGAACCAGGGGGCTCTATCTTGAGCTCTATCTTCCCCGCCCCTAGGAATTTACCTGTGGTACAAAATGAATACCAATGGGCTACCTGTGCATCACTAATGCACCTTAGGCACCACCCCAAACCTAAGCTACATGTATGCCCCCACTCCATGTGTCCAACGGAGAGAACGCCAGCCCCAGGAGACAGTGCCAGACCCCAGAGGGTCAGGGGGATCTCTCCCTGCATTCTTAAAATAAATATAAAATAAATTTATATTTCATACTTCTTATCTTTTCAGCCATGCCAGAATTCTATCATATGATTCCCTGATCGGGAATCCAGTTCTATCATATAGTGCCCTGACTCTGATCGGCAGGCGAGTGACTTCTGGAATCCCCATTCGGAGTCCCCTGCCAACTCACGAACTGGACTGCATCCTGGATAAATTCCTCACTTCTCAACACTTGGGGAGCTGCTAAACTTGGTGCTGCTGATTTGCAAACAACACCTGTCTAATTCATTTACCACAGGTGAGCAACCTCTGGAGATTACTTGGCCGCTGGGCCAGGCCCCATGCGGGTTTTCTCTACCTTCCCTGGACTCGGGTGAGGCTCCTCACATCCTTAGACAGCCCAAGGCAGAGTCTTTCTCCATGGGCTGGGACCCACACTGGAAAATGTTCACATCCTTTAGAGCTTTTAAGCTCTCACAGGCAGAGCTGTTACTGAAATCACTGGGAAATCCCCTAGTGTTGGTGATGGCCAATTATCACAAGCTTTGGAACTAAATTACCGATTACCCATCGGCCTAGGAGGTAAAGATGATGATCTAAGCTGATTAGGCCACAGTCCATTGCCTTACCTGACTGCGACTCTGTGGGCCAGACCCCACACCAGATTTTATCTTGGGGACCACTTCCTGTCCCCCTCAAAACCATACCTATTTATAGCTTATCACACTGACGACAAGTTTACAAAAACTATCTTTAAGCCTTAATTTTAAGAATGTGTCTTTTCCTGCTCCTGCACGATCCCTCCCCCTCCCCACACTGAGGACAGCCTTTCAAAGCTTTCTCAGCATCTCCTTTCCTTCCCGCTTCCCCTTCCCCTGCCACACTCTGACCCATTCCCTGCTGAGATGGGGGAGGTGCGCCCAAACAGTGTTGGGAGGTTCGCATGGGCTGCTCTGAGCCCTCATGCCGTGCCCCAGCTCTG